CGATCACCAATGTGGGTCACTGAGTCCGGGATGGTCAAGTCTGCCAAGGAGCTGCAATTGCAAAAGGCACGATCCCCAATGTGGGTCACTGAGTCTGACATTGTCAGAATGTCCAACTTCACACAGCCTTGGAAGGCGAACTGGGCAATTTCGGTTTCACATTCTGGGATGTCAACCACCAGCAACAGTTCTGAGTCAATTTCACTATGGAAACTGGCAAGTGCTTCTTGATTGCAGCATCTCACAGTGTTGGGTTTGAAGACGACACTCACAACAGTCCCTGCAGTAAGGCCTGCCTCGTCCAGCGTCTCATCATTCCCTAGGGAGCGATCTCCAACAAGGATCTCTACAGCAGTCGATCTGAGAGTAACTTCATCCCAAAGCTGCTTTCTGAACTGATGTTCCCTGAGCTGCTGCTTTAGCTCTCTACCTCTCATTTCTGGTCCCACTTCCAAATGAAGCATGTCGCCATTCACCAGCTGTGCTGAAACTCTCATTGCCATTTGCGTGACTTTCGATCACTCCGATCAGCATCAGTGAGCTAAGAGCAGGTGTGGTGAGTATCTGCTTAAAATTAATTGGTTCAATTGTTTCCATATTAGCTCAATTGGGTGATTGTTCCTGTCTTTTCCTTGTTTATGCAGCATCCTCGACCCTGTCAACCCAAAAATGGATGACCATTGCACGTCAGCTGCGTACATGATTTCGGATGCAAAACCGAAAAAAAAAAAAAAAAAAACTGCTGCGCTCCAATCAATGTTTCTATGCAACCCTATGATATCCAATATAGATGCCATGTTCTTCTATGTTGGCTGGTGGGAAACAGGTGAATAGTATCCCTGTGAAACCACAGGTCCAATCCGCTTCTGGACGATGACGAAAACGAGCGGTCGCACCAGCGGTCGCGGGGTCCAACGTGCTTCGGAGTCGAGCTGGCGAAGCCGGGCCGGCTGGATGTCTGCTTGGCTGGTGAGTTGGTGAGGCACGGCACGGAAGCAAAACCGAGCGACATCACTGTGCAGGCCGGCCTTTCATTTGGCTTCGAGGGCTCTATCAGTAGCTGCACCATAGCGCAGATTATATCATACTCTCTATAGTTTTGGGGGTGACAAAACAAGAAAAACATTTAAAAAGCACGGGATGGCCACTCTTCGAGATCGAGATCGAGTGCCAAAGAATGAGAGTGCAACAAACCATCCTCTGTGCCCAATCATTCTTGAGTTGCTCAGCTTCTTTCCTTCTTTTACAGGACTTGGAACTCGCAACATACCATCATTTGATGATCTTCGAAAACCACAAAAGTGCCTAAATGAGATCAGCCAACATCTCCTCCCAGAACCCAAAGGGTAGTGAACATAGACTCAATATGACTCCATCCCATGTGCAAAAAGAAGAAGCCATCCAATAACCCTCCTGCCAGTGGGGGCCTGCTGGTTAGGGCTCAATGTTCGAGTTCGTTTTCGATCGACGATGCCTGTGACCGCCCCCCTCCGTTGCCTCGCCTTGCCAGTCCACAAGGATGACCAAACCTGCGGAGAGAACGCCGATCACCAGGTAGGCGAGGAACAACAAGAGATCGCCAAGACCGGGGGTCACAGACATCAAGCGACACACATGTGCTGTGTGTGTATGTTTTGCTGTTTTTTTTGAGATCCCCCCAAGCCATGTATGGAACATTCCCTTGATCATTGACTCATTGACCCCTAAAACATCTTCGAAACAACCCCAATGTAGGCAATTTATACCATACATGGACTGTCTTGGATATAATGATATATCCATAAGAGTTGGCTGTTCACTGAAAGACACAGCTAAATATGTCACAAAGAATAGAGCATAGGTATCCTTTGCATCACCGGGCACTTACTTCAAGGGGATTCCATCCAACAGGAGGGGGCAGTTTGTGAGGACATGACATGTTCGGGGCCAACACATGACATGTTCCTGGGCCATCACGTGAGATGAGAAGATCGGATATTAATGTTTTTTATACATTAAAAATAACACCTGAAGACCTAACGTACATGCAGAATGCAGTGCTTCAAAACTCATCTCGGATTGAGACCCTTTACAAGCTCACAAGGGATAATTGCAGAGACCATGTGAGAATATGCGAGAATCAACGGCTATATCTGGAAGCCTCAACTTTCCAGGTGCGACCTAAATCTTGTACCAGTTCTTGTTGTGTGTTAAGTTCCTGGATCAGCATCTGACACCAAATCTGGGGGGCATTCGATGACCAACGACACCTTGGGAAATGCATACATACTTGTCCTTATCTACTTTGCAAAAACTCATGCAATGGCATACAAATTGAACAGCAACGAATTCTTCTCTTCTCTGGCTTGCTAGGGGCGCCATCTACAGGGAGCAAAAAAATAATTTCAAGGATTGACCTGAACATGTTAAAGGATAGGTCGTCGCTTTCTTTCAGTGACCTTCATGCAGCACTTGTGCCGCTGATTTTCTCTTGTTCCGCTGCAATGAACCAATGCTAACACACCACTCCACCGATCTCCGTCTCACCTGCCTTCGACGGAAATCGCTCCGTCTTCTTCGTGCCTTGGACGGACGAAGCGACCGGTCCCACGGGTCCGGTGTGCTGGCTTTCGCATACACAAGCAACACACATGCTCTTCCTCCAACAGCATGGTCCAGAAGGGAAACACACGTACCTATATAACCAATGTATAACCGCATTTATAACCTCGAAAAAAAACGACCAGTTGATTGGAATTCCGCGTTTCCCCATCGAGTCGAGCGGTGGCATGCCGTGCATGGCGTGTTGGTCATGTTTGCAATGTGTCTTTTTGGTTATCTGTTTCCAGTCCCATGGATGATGCTCTGGGAAGGCATCGGCATGCATCTCAAAGGGCCCGAACGGACTCACCCTGGCCGTACGTGCATGTACGTATACACATCTATGTATGCCTATATTATGTTGATTGTTATATTGATCTAAACATGATCTTTGATGATGCCGGGATCCAGTCGTAGCTTCTCAGAAGAGTGGTCGAACACACATCACCTTCACCTGAGAAGCTACGACTGGTCGTTCCCTATACTGAGGGATTGTACGACTGGATCCCCAAAACGGGATGGTTCACTCACAAACCCACCCGGTTTTTGGTGTCCATGCTGAAAGCCTCCAAGCGGACGACCGGCTTGAGCGTGCAGCAGAACGTGCAGCAGGGCAGCGAGAATCGTCCGAATCGTCCAGGACCGTCCAGGACCGTCTGAACCGGTTCGCTTTCATGATCCCCATCACCCTCTATACCTCATGTCCTAACCAGAGCAGATGGCACGAACGACACGAAAGATCTGAAAAGCAACTCTGCCCCTCACCGTGCACCGTGGAGACACCAAGGTGCCCTCAGACAGAAAGACACTTTGGAGCAGTAGCGTGAAGACCTACCGCACCGATGCCGCGCCGCCGCATGCGAGGAGGCGAACGGGTGTCTGTGGTGAAGGTCTGTGAACGATCGGTCACGGGGTGGTCGAAGGGTGATTTCTCATGTTGAGGCCGAAAAAACCATGCAGGAGGGGGGTCGAAGGAATCTCTTCAATGATGAGCAATGAATTTAAGTTCCATGTTCTAAAATGCAATCATGTGTCTAAATCCAGTTTCCAGACCTGCACATCCGCACAAGAACCCTGTTTCTGGGGACAAATGATGGACAGTCATCAAAACTGGCTGATGAACATAGGACTGGGATGGACTGGGATAGGCTATTGTGCGTTTTTGGAAGACAGTAGAAACAAAGAGCAGGGGGAGGATTGGGTCACCTAGGCAGAACCCCACCCCGGACAACACCTACCTGATTGCACCTGACGGACAACATGTATTCTTCAAAATCACGGTGGAAAGGTCCAGAGAAAGTGTATCAATGTATAAAATCTAATTGTGTCCGTTTTGGACGATGCATCCCGTTTTGTATCCAATCTTCTCTCCAGCAGCCGCCGCTCTTCAGAGGCACCGGATTGCTGCTGAAGATGGCCGTGTTGAGTGAGGCCGGCAGGTAATGTAAAGCCTCGCAAAGCCATGAGATGAAAAGAGCGGCCTCAAACTCAAACAGAACACTTTGAACCGATGGGTGGGAGGTGTCAGAGAGACAGTAGGGGTCCTGGAATAACACTCAGCCATGCCAAACCTTATGTTAAGTTATCAGGAATTGGGTAGAAACTAGCCTTGGCAACCAAGTTATCAGGATTTTTTTTGATTGTGGCAATGGACCTAGCCTTGGCAACCAAGTGGAGTTTTCACATGCACCAAAACAGAACTAGATGCCAACGCATGTTATGCCAATGCACTTCCAGGCGGGTTCACAAACCCATGAGGTGAACTTACCGATGAAAACCGATGCACATCGCCGAGATGGGTTAAAAACAAGATGGCGCCCAACATCACCTCAAGATGCAAGTCGGCATCTTTGCAAACCTCAAACCAGGCCAGCGCGTCTAGTGGCACTGGCCAAGAGGTCGTGGAAATGACCTGTGTGGCGTCAAACCCAGGGATGCAAGTGCAAGGAAAAGCAACCAAATATAAAACTTGTGTACAGTAGGCAAAGCACAACTAGCACAAACTGATAGTGCACTATTAGGCCGTCTTCCTCCCAATCTCAGCTCCCGAGCCCCAATGTAAGAGAAGTTGGTGGTCAAAGCGATGAACTTAGCCGAGGGCGTTGTGACAGTATAGGTTCCCTATCTCAATCTCTGCGGGATGGATATATCAATGCTAGCCATGCGTACTCGAAGTTGTTCTTTCCAACTCACCTACGCAACCCTGCGGAAGACGTCCATATCTGGCTGCAAGCTACCTCGGCTGACAAGTAGTCGCGGTCCTTGGCCACATGGCCTGAAGCACTTGCTGATGAATCACTGGCAGCTTGTCGCCACAACTCTACTGGAACTCGCTTGTCTGTTCCATCCAGCTGCGAACAACAAGGGTCGCAACGGTCCTGACGGTTCCTGCGGAAGTTGGCAACAGCGACACAGTATTGGCACCATAAAGATGTCGAGGTGACCAGGCGCGCCGCCCGTGGACGGGAGTTAATCCACAAGCAGCTACTGTCGCTTTACGCCGTTCAGTTATACGTGTGTGCCGTGCTCTGACTGAGTGTCTGATTCTGGCCATTGTTGCAAATCACAAAATGATAAGCAACAAGTCAATTATACACTCGACTGAACATATAATATATAATGTATATATAACAACACATAGATACACATAGCACAAAGCAATCATTTGGCCACATTGACTCAATGAACCGATTTGACAACCCCGATGTGTCTGTCTTCTTCGAACACCGCACGGATCGACGCGGCATACGGACCCCGAAGACGCGGACCGACCGGAGATGTTCCGAAGACCCATGAGCCAAGAGGGAGTGAACTTCAGGTCACCATACCCTATAGGGATCCAGTCGTACCTCCTCAAAAAGGTACTTGGACCCTCCTGGCACCCACTCCAGTCCCACCTTCTGGGTACTTGGATCCATAGGGATCAATTCTTTCAGAGCCGATGTTCCCACCCTTTTTGCGTCACATCCGATCCATCAGTATTCGAATGCTACCCCTGCAAACCGCACCAGGTCAGCAGCCGGTCGACGTGCACAGCGAAATCATATGAAATCAATTGACATCATCAACCACCCACAGGCAAAAAGCAAGAGACGTGCCAGCTTCCCTGGCGCTCGCATGGGGTATAGACCAGCATCCCCTTTTTGGGGGTTCTATCTTCCGAACCGCACTGCACGGGGTTCGCACGGCACGAGGGGGAGAGTCTCCCGTTTTTTTTGCTACCCTGAGAATCAAGGACCCTGAAAGGTGAAGGTTTTGAGGGTCCAAACCCCTGCTATGCAGGGTCAAGACCCTCCAGAAGTGGTCGGGTCCAATGATTCTTAGGGTACACAAGCATCTCCTATCTGGGACTCAGTCAGACTCGTCTCTTCGGGATGAAACTCTGGCAGTCGTGGTCCCAGGAATTCAGAGTTCCAATTCAAACGAGCGGACGGCTGCAGTCGAATGTTTTTAGGCGGGAATAATGGTTTTGTGATGTTTTGTGTATACGACCAAAGCCGCAACCCTTTTGATTCTTTAACACTTTTTGGATCTTTTTGGGCTTGTCGATCTGGGCTGACCTGACCGAGGAAAGGGGAAACCAAAACCTCCTATTTTGGTATATGTATAAGCATTCCACAGACTGTAATTTGGTGTTTTGTTCAATCTTGTTGACCAGGCCACCAGCTTCTCATCAACCACACCTCGTTCTGAGTCTTTTTGAAGTGATCCACACCCTTGTGTCTTTGGGCGATCCCCCAATGCCAAGGGCTCCGCGAGCTACCGCCAGCCAAGAATGATGCGCGCGAGCTGACTGGCGACGGAGGACGGATTGTCGAAGCGATCCTGAAGACGGAACATGTTGGAACGAACGTGACAGGGAAATAGGGGGGGGGAAATCCTCCAGATGTCTCATCTGAAGAAAGAGAGCAGCACATCATCATCTAAAGCTTAGAGCTGATGTGCTTGCTAGGTTTAAAAGCTTGGTGACCTTGAAGCTTCGCCGAGCTCGTGGCTAAGAAGCGCGGTGGATGCCAGGCCTGGCGATCCCAAATCGGGTTCACCCCCGAATGGGCCAGGGGTTACCTGGTGGAGAGGGGTGCCTGGTAAGTTGCTATAGGGCCCAAATGGGTGCTCGTCCATCCAAGACAAACATCACGGTGTTAGTATACATTTATCATTTGACTGACTGGTGCTTAAAGACATGAGGTAATGGATCCTAAGGAATCTGTAGGGCCGGGGTCAACCACCCTCAGCCACCCGACGCGCACTTTCGTCGCACCAGTCAGTCTTAAGTGAGTCGCCCAGTGAGTCGCGTGGGGGAGCCTGTGAGACCACAGCAGTCCATACCAGCACCAGAACCCTCCGAACTGCGCGAGCCACGGTTCAAGCAGAATGGGACTGTACTCAGAAGGTGCGTCCACCCAAGCAGTGCAGAGACCAGGGCGCCCTGATATGGTCCAGTACTCCCAAATCCATTCGTATCGACTGGGCCCCACTCGTACCGACTTAGAAGGTATGACTGGACCCGACAATGGCACCCACCCCAGTCCCACCTTCTCCTCGCAAGGTACGAAGGGGAGCCCTAGGGATTCTTTAAACAACATGCACATGTCTTCAGTGTTCGCTTGACTCCAACGGCTGGCCCATTGCTCCTGATTCCAAGTGTGGTTGGAGCCTCAAGGGCCCTAGGGTCGAGCAATCTAGATGTTCCACTTTGGGCCGCCTCCTGGACGCGTTACGAACGAACCCACCGTTGACCACGACGACGGAACGCACATCGCCTGAAAAGCGGTCGTCTCCAAGAGCTGGCAGCCCGTGGCATGGTCTGATCGGAAGAGACAGGCAGTGGTGGATGACCGAAGTGAAGACTGAGAGGTTAGCGAAAATCCTAGTATAGTCGGTTAATATATATTATACATATATCTTGAAAGTATGGAGATGAGTGTTTCGGTGTTTAGTATGTTCAGAAAATAACTACCAAGTTGAACACAGATTGAACGCAATTCTGGGTTCAGAATGCTTTAAATTTGTTGTTGTTTTTTCAAATACCATGCAGGCGACACTGCGATACTGCGGAGTCCGATGAACCGTATACGGTAACCCCAAAACACGAGACTTGCCCAAGCCATTCTGCTTTGGTTTTGTCCTTCTGGAGACTGGCCCAAAACTAGGCCATGGATTGGAAGGAAGGGATTTTTGCTGAAGTTCCCACACCACTCTCTAGACAAGTCCATGTAAAGGGAAGACTCGAGTGCAAATCAAAATGAAACAAAGAGAAGAAGAGTGTCACTTTTTGAGCTCCACACACATGATGACCAACACCTGGATCTGAGAAAGGATGCCTGGTCTGATGTTCCATGCCGCCCCCCAAAATAGCATGGTCGACGCTGCAAGAAATCTTCATCAACCCGTGCATCGACCATATTCTGATTGGCTTTCATGAATGTGGGGAATCCACCATGTCTTTTTTGTCGAAGCCACCACTGCTTAGGTGGTCGACTTCACACGCACAAAGCCAAGCTTTGCCAGGCCTGGCCTTGCTTCCGCCTGTGATCTCGCGCGCAGGCTGGAAGGAAGAGAGCAGGGAGGGTGAGGTATTCGTAGTACTTGTAGGGTGGAATCGGACTTTCACTGCCCGCCTCAGTATCCACAGGAGACTAACTCCTGCATACCTCTGTGCTTTTTCTGCTCCCTTTTTTAGTAGAGTCGCCATAGACTCATATCAAATCTCATAGAATTATATATATAACATAGTTATTTATAGTTATTATATATAGATATAATTTATATAATGTATACCAGAACCATCCAACGGGTCACCAATGTATTAATAGACACGGGGATGGTCAAATGAAGGAAACCAACAGGGATCCCCAAAGTTGGGGCTTTGGAAGAGCATATACCCAGAAGGCGGTTGCCGGTTGCCCATCAAATAGATGACTGAGAGCCAAAAGGGATCCAAAAAACACTCCAGCTACGGGTCCCTTTTTTGGGCGCGCCCCATCAAAAGCCCCAACATATCCCTACAGAGACAAACATCAAGAGAAATATCATTCTCCCTGTTGTTGTAGAAGAAAATGGTCGGGGACCATTTTCCACTTCCACGATCTGGGAGTGGTTTTACAACATGCGCAAAACCTCGCGACGGGCAGTGCCTGACCATGTGGGGCAGTGCTAAGACCATCCAGGCTGTGGCATTCGCCCAGGTCACCAAAGGCACCACCTCAACGCGAACCCACGATGCGAAGAACATAATGTCGAGGCAAGTGATCAAAACCACAAACGCATCTGTTGCAGAGACTGGAAGACTTGGGGAAACCTTAATATATACAATATCTAATATGCATGTTGCAAGGCTTTGGTCAGTTTCAATCGATATGTTTGCTTTCCAGAATGTCTTTTTCACTTTAGGAAGGCCGGGCAAGGCCAGGAAATCACACGAATCACCTGTGCCTATGCCCCTGGGAGTACTCCTACCAGTGAGCAACCCGGAGTTCTGGGACCAGGCCCACCACATGGCACAAAAAGACATGCAGTATCAATGTTGCCTCATACAGCCTTAACAACGTAGCGAAACATCTGTGACCGCAGCGAAACATCTGTTGGCCAACGAGTTCTGCATTGATGGCCGCATCGAATTACCTGGTTACAACGATTCTCTGCATCTCTTGCTTTCGGAGTACACACCAAAGGGCTCAAAGAATTCTCCTTTCAAAGGTACTGTGACCAGGCTGGGGCCGATGCACCGATGCACCCGCCGATTTGTTCTCTCATCTCTCCAGCCGGTCAGGCTCTCGAGCGGAGTGATGCTGAAGCTGAAGTGTATCCACCTCCAAGCAAACAGGAACTTCAGAGCAACAATCTCGCAGGCACCGCTGTGCTTCTCTTTCATGAAGCAAAAGAACCAAACGTCTAAGTGGAAAGATGCAAGACACCCCAAAATAAACCAAACATTCCCGCTTTCATGAGCATGATATCTTTGCAGCAGGTGACCAGGTGTGTTGAAGCAAAAGTGGGTGGCTGTCTGGGGACAAAAGACTGAAAGATAAATAGTGTGAAAAGGACATTGCGTTGTTTCGCTTTCTTCCAGGGCTACGTGGATGGAACACTCGAAGAAAGCCCAGGAAGAGGAGGATGACCCCCCCCCCTTTGGCCTCAGCAGCTCTCGCCAGCTGAGCCACCTTAGGAGCAAAACATGGGAAGGCATTACCTGTATCACTCCCAAACAAACAGAATACATACCAGGAGCAGGACCTTCAAAGTGACCTCTTTGGAGTCTGTAAGTGACCTATTTATGGACTCAGTGACCTCAAACTGGGATCTCAAAAGGTCACTTTGAAGGTCCTGGTAGATATGACCTACATTGAAAACCACCAAAATCACCAAAGGCAGGCGATGGTTGCGGCACCTTGGATCATCAGGCACCTCTTCTTTTGTGTGCCTCCGTTTCCCAAACGTTCATAGGCACTCTGTTTCTTGGGCACTCCATGCGTCCCGTCCCGTTGTTTCAAAAATCCGTGAGCGTTTCCCCACTTTCTCCCGGTCTGGAAAGATTAACACTTAAAGTTTCAAGGATCCAGTTTGCCCATGGTTGCGAGCTTTAAATCAGTTGAAGCTCAACAAAGATCAAAATTGCGATTGCGCAAGACTACTGAGGGAAACGGGGCTAGTTATTCAATGGTCCTTGATCGTGGTTTCTACGTGAAACTGCTATTCCAGAAGCCCTGAGCCACAGAAATGCAGTTGAAGGTTGATGTACTCGACCAATCGCCGTCGTCCGAAAGCGGCCAAGGAGCACTCACCCATGAGGCTGCTATGGCCAAGAGTAGCAGACTGCTCTCCAGCAGACCCGCCTGCTGAAATGGAAAAAAGAGGGCGTGCCAATTTGGGGCCAAGACCTCCCTCTCTGGAGCAAAACTCAAACACCTCCCACCATAGAAATTGAAAACCAAATTGCTATACACTTGGATGCAAAGAGACCTTTGCATCCGCCAACGTCGCAACCGGCTTCCACCGGAAACAACAAAATCACTGAACCATGCACCCTCAATCTTGGTTGATGTCATTGATGTTTCAACTCAACACCGCCTGTAAATGGGAACAAACGTCTCACGCCGGCATTCAGCAGCAGTTCCGAACAACTCAAGCGAGGAGCGGCCAATGCACCCTCTGATTCAAAACCAGAGAACCCTGAGCTTGCTTTTTGTGTCGTACCTGCATCGTACCTGCAGCATCCCAAAGCCACGGGTTCTCACCTCTTGAGGACGTCAGCTCCACTTGACACAACCAAGTTTGATGGCCCATCTGTACTTCACCGCGCAGCATGGTAAAATGGTTCCAACTTCTTGGGAGTCCATCTACAAGAACAATTAAGAACATGCCCATATGAATAATAGGTCACGAATGGGATCTCATTTTCTGAAATATGACACTTTATGCATGATTCTTCCTCAGATCTAACGACCTGCATGTGGAGCTCACGACCTGCAAGCACAGCAAGATCTCTCAGTTCGCCACACAGCACGACCTGGACTGGAGCACAGCGAGGCTTGGCAGGTCGACCCGCGTTCTCCAAGCGTCTAGAGACGTACCGAGCAAAAAGTTGCTCAACATGCGGTGAGAACCAGAAAACCCTTGGTACGCCAAGCGTTAAACGAGCGTTTCACAAGCGTTCATCACGCTCGGACCCTATGTAGGACCCTTCATCACGCTCGGTTTCATCACCGCGTGAAACGTCCCACAGATCTTCCGCTCACTTCGAGTTGACTACCTGCCAACTACAGCAATTTTGCTCACGCAAAACAACCACATGGAAGAAATTGAAAGGGTGGATGCTCATAAGTATGCTTGCTAGTTACGGCGTATATGTCCAGTGCAGCATGAACACCAATGGGAAAGATTTGGAGCAAGTGCTTGAAGGCCAGCCCAGGGCTGTGTATTGAAACGCCTGAACTATGTGTCCAAACCAACACCGACACAGAGGGTCTGCTGAAGAGACCTAAGCCACCCACGGATGGCAACTTCAGGAAGTCACTGCCTGAAAAACTGGAGAAAAGGGTTTTGTATCTGGACAATGTGGTTGAAAGGTAAGGATGGCTCGTAGTATGACAAAGTAGTTAGTAGTTCAAAGGATGGCTCATGTGGTAAATGAATGTAAATGAGCTGAAGCAGCATCGTTGCAACTTAAAGTTGGTCACGGAACCGATGGAACTAGCTCTGCAGCTAAACATGCAATGTGTGAAAGACGCACGCGGAGTGTTATGTTTTCTGCGCTGCTCGAAATGTTGTCTCCTCGCATGTCCTCATATCAAAGCCGAGCCTTTGGCTGGATTGAGCTGATCTTTGTACTGGATGTCGCCCAGCAAAATTCCTGCACGCATTCCGAAAGCGATGCAGTTGGTCTTATCCATCCTCTTCAAGTCCTCTGGCTTCTTGAACGAGTGCATGTCGATTCTGCGTGGGAGCTCCTGGCGAACAAACTCGACCATAGCATTGGCGGTGGTCATTGAGGTGCAAGAAGAAGTCTCATTGCAATCCGTCAACTGAATTCCGTCCACTTTGATCTTTGACAGGTGCATCAGCGCCTCACTCTTGCTAGCAAACAGCTTCACTCGCACACAATGATCGGCAAAGAGAAAGCCGTACTTTTTGCCCTCTGCATCAAAATCACCTTAAATCAAAATCCCAGCGTGGTAGCGACGCCCGCCATCTGCCTCTCCCTTGCCGATCACGAATGACTATGTGAAGGGAATCTTGTGATTCGTGATTGTTGTACAGCAGAGACAGGAGTCAAAGGTTATATGTGAGACTGGTTTTCGATTTTGAAGGTCAACATCTGATCCGGGCTGGTCCGATCCACTTCAAAGAAACCAGCAAGCACTGCTCTTGCAGTGACGGCAATGATCTCCTCCGCAAAAACACCGCAGCCTCCAAAAACAGGTCCAATTTTTCAGCACAACTTGTGGAAAATGGGTCTGATCAACATGGTGAAATTATAGCCTTAACTTTGAGCCGAAAAAAAATGCATCTTTCTCGCTTCTTTTGCCGCTTGCATGGGACCTGTCTCGCCCGCTTGCCGAAACTATACACACATGGAAAACAAACATGTGGGCCACGACAGCAAGCACGCTCAAAACAACATGGTGTCTCCATTTTGTTTTCAAAGAGGTGCTGAGCGCTGCCAACATATATGCATGCGGTCAGCTCAGTTTGACAGCCAGGACTGTCCAAATCGCCGTTTTTTGCGTCAAAACAATGGCACACAGGCCGAAGGATCGGTGCGGGGGCCGGGAGGCATCTCAACTGGCAGAACGTGGGTCCTTTTGAGGCATCCCATGTCACTTCTTTGCGGAATTTTAGGCCTTCCTTCACACGACATCACTTCACCAGAAAAGCGTTTTGGCCACCCGTGTTCACTGGACAAGCTCCTCTGTTTTCATATAGACAAAGTAGTTCGAAGGATGGCGCGCGGTAGTAAGATTCTAATTATAGCAGCACCGTTGCAACTTAAAGCTGATCACGGAACCAATGAAGCTACCTCTGCGGCTAAACATGCAATGTGCGAAAGGCGCACGCAGAGTGTTTTGTTTTCGGCGCTGCATCATATCAAAGCCGAGCCTTTTGCTGGATCAAGCTGATCTTTGTACATACTGTCAGAGTGATCACTCACTCCCCAATGGCGGTCATGCATGTGGCCAGAAAGTGATCTCGCTCGTCTTGGCCCAGCAAAATTCCTGCACGCATTCCGAAAGCGATGCAGTTGGTCTTATCCATATTCTTCAAGTCCTCTGGCTTCTTGAACGAGTGCATGTCGATTCTGCGCGGGAGCTCCTGGCGAACAAACTCGACCATAGCATTGGCGGTTGTCATTGAGGTGAATGAAGGGGTCTCATTGCAATCCGTCAACTGAACTCCACTCACGTTGATTTTTGACAGGTGCATCAGCGCCTGGCTCTTGCTAGCAAACAGGTTCACCCGTACGCAATCTGTCCAACGTTCCGCAAAGAGAAAGCCGTACTTCCTGCCCTCTGCGTCAAAATCACCTGCAATCAAAATCCCCGCGTGGTAGCGAGGCCGGCAATCTGCCCCTCCCTTGCCAATCAGGAATGAGTATGTGAAGGGAACCTTCTGATTCGTGATTGTTGTGCCATGCAACACAGCAGACACAAGAGTCAAAGATGATATGTCAGTCTGGCTTTTGATCTTGAAGGTCAACATCTGATCCGGGCTGCTCTGGTCCTGTGGAATGTCAGGAGCTGGACCACATGAGCAGTTCTGCATGACCTCTGCGAAGGCACAAGCGGCACCTACTGCGAAGAAACCACCAAGCACAGCTACTGCCGTGACGGCAATGATCTCTTCCGCAGCCACCGCAGCCCCCACTCCAAGAGCAGGTCCCATTTCTCAGCACAACTTGTGGGAAATGAACTAAGCTTTGAGCCGAAAAACTTGCGTCATTCTCGCTTCTTTTGCTGTTTTCAGCCTAAAGCCTCTCTCGTCCACTTGCCGGTCTCTACCGCACACAGGCCCGTCAGAGTCACGCCTTTGTCTTTCGTGCTTCTCGGCCGCCGTTTGGCTGGGAGGCATCTCAACTGGCACAAAAAGACCCACATGTCATAAATACAATTGGAGATTCGTGGTAGTGGAAATTTGTCGGTGAGTTCTGTCTACAATCGATGACTTCTCACATGTCAGATTTTTGCGGCATTTCATGAAAGGCCTTCCTTCACGCGACATCACTTCGCCAGAAAAGCATGTTGGCGGCCCGTGTTCACTGGACAAGCACGTCTGCGAAAAAACGGACAAAGTAGTTCAAAGGATGGCTCATGTGGTAATGAATGTAAATGAGCTGAAGCAGCACCGTTGTAACTTAAAGCTGGTCACCGAACCGATGGAACTAGCTCTGCAGCTAAACATGCAATGTGTGAAAGGCGCACGCAAAGTGTTTTGTTTTCTGCGCTGCTCGAAATGTTGTCTCCTCGCATGTCCTCATATCAAAGCCGAGCCTTTTGCTGGATCAAACTGATCTTTGTACATACTGCCAGAGTGATCGCTCACTCCCCAATGGCGGTCATGCATGTGGCCAGAAAGTGATCTCGCTCGTCTTGGCCCAGCAAAATTCCTGCACGCAGTGCAAAAACAATGCAATTGGTAAATCGCATTTTCTTCAAGTCCTCTGGCGTCTTGAAAGAGCGCAAATCCAACTTGCGTGAGAACTCTTCATGAATAAACTCAACCATAGCATTGGCTGTTGTCAGGGAGGTGAATGAAGGGGTCTCATTGCAATCCGTCGAATCAACTGTGTTGGCATTGATGCTTCGCAGGAGCATCAGTGCTTGGCGTTTGCTTTTGAAAAGATTCACCCGCACGCTATCTGCCCAACGCTCAGCGAAGAGAAAGCCGAACTTCCTGCCCTCTGCGTCAAAATCACCTTCAATCAAAATTCCCGCATGGTAGAGATGCTGCCCATCTGCCTCTCCCTTGCCAATCAGGAATGAGTAAGTGAAGGGAACCTTTTGATTCGTGATTGTTGTGCCGCGCAACACAGCAGACACAAGAGTCAAAGATGATATGTCAGTCTGGCTTTTGATCTTGAAGGTCATCACCTGGTCCGGGATGTTTTGGTCCTGTGGAATGTCAGGAGCTGGACCACATGGGCAATTCTGCACTGCATGTTCAAAGGCATGTGCTGCCAAATAGGCCGTCCCACCACCAATCACCACTGTCCCGATGGCAATGGCAATGATCTCCTCTGCGGCCAGCACACCAAGAGCAGGTCCCATTTCTCAGCACAACTTGTGGGAAATGGATGAAACTGGTGAGACGTGAATCAGACCTATATCATTCCAGCCTG